CTTTTGCTTAAAACCCTTTAAATATTTATATAGCCCAAAGACGGATCTCTCTAGTTGACGATATTAGAGTTTATGAAAATCAACCGCTCCTCGCCTTCCTGTTTGCTCATACAATGCAAATTCTCCGCGTAGAATGCCCATCCGATTGATCATAGTCTAATAGGACTCTCTTCATGTTAATAGCTGAAAAGTGCTTTGGAGTAAGATCTATGAGTAGAACCCGAGTCCGTGTCCGATGCCTTTACGAACCAGCCCAATGTCAATAAGCTACGATTTTGTTAGAATTGTTGTTATTATCATTACATTGATCAGTGACTCCCAGCTGTTCTAAAACAAAAATTATCTCTTTTGCGGTCATAAGGGTGACGGCCTCCCAATAGAGCACGTTCGGCTGTCAAGAAATGTGCGTGAATTTACTCAATAGCTCAAGTTATGTAAATAAACAGCTGTAGGAAATGAATGCTCGAAAACATTTGAGGTTCAGCTCGGCATTTTTGTAATGACCGTTCGTAAGCTATGCCTCACAATGGCCCTAAAGCGCTAATTTCCATTCCTTTCATATCCCATATTCGTTTTTCAAGCTCAAGCAGATACAACTATCATTTATCGCTTCATTTCTTCGGCGAAAGTCATTGTGTTAGTATTGTAATTTTCGTTAACAGTTGTCTTGCATCCATGTTTCAGGTCGATTTTGAAGCTTCAAAGCAGATTTTGTAGAAAAAAAACTGACAAACTTCTCAAAAAAGTGGTTTTATTATTGAAAGCGAGACTTAAAACAGCTTTCTAGGTCATCTCAACCGATTTTTTGTTGTAGTAAATTGCTTTCAAATCAGAGTTTGTTTCATTGGTTAAAAAAGCAAGAAAACTTTTTCATTAGTTATACCAACTTACCAATTGTTGTCTGAAATTGTGGGTTGAAATGTACAACGAAAGCTTTGAAAATCCCATAATTTTCGGGCTCTATTCCATTTCTTATTAATTCACGAAACTTCTCTCTGAACTCCATTGCTAGGAAATGCAAAGCACTACATAAATCTATGTTTTCCGGTGTAGTGAAAATGAAAAGATTGACAAAATGTCGACCAACTTTGTAATACCTGTTCACAAAAGTGTGCTTTATGTCAATCACACCTGCAGCTAAAACTAGCCTATGTATTCCGGACTAATCTGGCTATGGCCCAGGTCTAGCAGGGGTTGTGCATTGACCGACTTTTCGACTGTTTACTATTTTGACAATACTGAGCCACTCAATGGAAAGCAGAAATATTTGAAAAATCTTTCCGAAATTTCTCGGAGTCGTGTATGTCAATGTATTCAGCTGTAATAGACTCTGCCGGCTGTGTTCTCTTTTTCATTGCGATGAAAGAAAGACAAGCCATTGAAACACTGATAGTGTATCATCAACTGATTAACTCCCGAAACACAACTGCTGGGAAAAAAATAGTCGTGAAATAATTTATAAATATAAGACGTGGAATATGCATATTCAACTAGTCCTTCTCCCGCTCCTTTTTTCTGGAGTATCATCGTCGGGCTATTGTCTCCAATCGTCACGCATTGTTTTTTGTTTACGTCACTTTTTTTGTTGAGTGTGTTTGTTTAACAATTTTACTGTAATGTTTAGGAGAGAGTGTAAATTAGGAGAGATTGTAGATATGGTATAGAGATATCGATGATCCACTAAATATCAGTGCTCTTTTTAATTGAATTCTCCGATTTTACAGTAGTTGATAACTTTTTCTTCTAAATCTCCTAACTAACTATGTTCAAGAACGTTTGATATCCAGTGTATTTGAAGGAAAATAAGAAAGAAAGCGTTAGAAAACAACATCATCATTTTCTCATATATTTTTTTTTCACTTTATGACACTTGACGCTATAATGGAAAGTTTACTTTTAGCTTTACAATGCACTTTCGATCTTGAGCGCACCTTTCATTTTCCCCACCCCGGTATTCCACATTTATTGGCAGTCCTTTATCACATTTGCAATGTTAGTCACTTTATTCTTCAGGAATGTCAATACAATTATTCGTTCTGTTCTCATCAGAAAAAATCATCGACTAAGAAATGTAAATAGCCTACACGCAGATTGCGTACGAAGGTCGAAAAACTGGTTTGAAGGGTTATGACGCCTCAGTCATTTCGCCTTCAAAAGAATTAACACAAGTGGCATACTTTATTACTGTTTCCATGATAATAAGGATTTTTAAGTCGATGGAATCAAACTGAGAGCTTAATATGATATATGCTACATAAGACAAATGGTGCTGTAGACAAAGAGAATGATTCATAGCCGGCGAGTTAAAAGCCCGAATCACAGTCGTTTTATGAATCATACCACCACATGTTATGTACAATTCTATGTTTATTTTGCTATAAATTTCTGAAAATACAGACGTTATGCTTTTGGCTTAGCGATTTGTGAAAGAGGAAAATTGTAGAAATGTTTTATATGGAGGTAGCTTGATATTTTTAATTTGGAACGATTAATACAGATAATAAGCCACAAAAATTGGAAACAATGATTGTTTCCCACAATAAATTTGGGGAAACAAAACGACGATGCTGCTCTTACGCTGGGGGTTTCGCAATTTTTGCAAGCGCATACTGGACGAAAGTATTTAGCTTGGATTCAAAATGTTCGTTATCTCTCTGCGAATCCTAGAAATTTCAAAAAATGGTTTACAACTGTGCAGTGCTAAGAAAAATCTATGGATAAAGTAGATTGTCAAATAAATCCCTATGTTTATTTTAACGCCTGTTTTATCGCATTTTCATTACGTTAGCCAGGTATTGTATATAGTTTGAATGCTCTTTCTTCTTGACGATAATTCATTATGTAATCCTCGATTCATTTAATTTTCACTTTTTTATTGCTAAATAAATTCTCACTTCGACAAAAACGGCTCTTAACATCTAGTGTTTGCATGAGTTACCAACGCAATGAATTCTTTTAGAAATCACTTTTGTCTGAAATAGTGGCAATAAATCAGATAAGATAAAGATATGGGGTTCATTGCTTAGGACTTCCCGCATCTATAATTTGATGCTGTTATAGCAGAATTGCGTCTATAGAAAAGATGCTAATTTTAAAGTAAACTCTGTAGAATAAACATGTTGTTGCACCCCTTCAAATAATCTTCTTCAAACTTTTATGGCCTACTATTGTCTGGAATGTCTTGAAGGCCGGTAATTAACTTATGAGTAATCAATCCATTTGTAGGCGTAGTACAGAAATAGCATCTTTTCCATAAAGGGAACAAATATAGCTTTGTTTGCAAATTTTTTGGTCACCTTCAAAGCAGAGTAACGTAAACATAAGATATACAAGTAGATACATAACATACATGCGGTCACCATTACTCTTAGAAAGCCCTTAGATGCATTTTTGCTCTCAACATCTTATGACCTATTTGCCCATCAAAACAAATAGACCATTTTTTTAGCATGCTTTTGGCACTTTCGTGTAGAAGCCATAAGCGCGCCCTGATATTATTAGTCATCCAAAATTATTTGCATTGAAAAAAAGGGTTTCCCAGTCATTATGGCCGATTCTCTATACCGCACACGTTCTTTATGCTCATGTAAGTTGTGAAGACTTTATGAACGGCTCCTACTGTTTGACATGAGCAAGGAAACTAGCTTTTACGCTGATGCCTTTTACGTGTTCCGTTACCCATGTGTTCACAGATGAAAGCATCCAGATATCCTGATGCAGCTGAAATTACAACTGAAGCAGACATTGAAATTACGGTAATAAAATATCAAATTATTGTGCGTTTTCGAAAACAACTAGAACACAGAGATGTACTTACATACAGATATGCAATCAATAAACTATGTATTGCTCGTTGCCACCGAGTTTTAAATTTGAAATGTTAGTTGCAAGTAAGGTGACCATATGGGAAAACTATGCGAACACGAAGCACTCAAATACTGATAAGATCAAGACGAAATTACTGCAGAAATTGTTGTATGCAAGCCTATCTATTATCACGAAGGAATGGTGTTGAGTTTGTAGCAAAATCTTAGAAACCCCCTGTTCTCAAATAAAATTGAATTTTTTTACCACAAGTTTAAGATCGCTAATCCGATTGCTGATAAGAACTTTTGCAAGAATAGACAGCACTAACAGTA